AGATGAATTGGATCTTAGCTGTCATTCAGAGAACGCGTTGCCCATTGTCCGCGGTTGAATGCATATCCCTCACTTAGGACATCCATTAGCACGATTGCAGCATGAAGTGATGTAACCGAGTGATAGGATATTTCTGAAGCTACCGCCGGATTTGATGCACAGACGATCATTAAACGTTCCGGTTGAGCCACTAACCCAGCAGTTATGACAGGCACTTTGGTCCCTGAAAGATGAACCTCCATCCAGGAGTTGCGATAACAGCAGTAAAAAAGACTACCTCACATGCCCAATGACTCCAGCACAAGAGGCAAACTTCTGACGAGCATCAAAGTCACTTGGTAAATTCGTCAACACCGGTTCTGTGGATCCGAGGAGGCGAGTTTCGTCATCAAAAGTCGAAGAGGGCTTCAGATCGTCAAGAGACCCAGTAGGGACATCTTTGATTGACGTACCTGCCGAGTAGTAGCACTGGTTCTCGACTTTGCCGCTCGAGCCGTAGTGTTGACCATGAAGTTCATAACGTACCTTTGAAAGGCGGCTGATCTTTGGAGGCCGTCCATGAGTTCTGCATCAAGTTGATCTTGTCAACCATGGATTGCAATAGAGCCGGCTTAGTGTTGTTAAAGAGCTCAATCAAAAATTCATTTGGCTCTCCTTCCTGCAGAAGCACCTTTCCCAGCTGATCTTGGAATCGGGAGAAATGTTCAGCGTGCTCATCAGGGGTATAGACAGAACCTCAAAAGAGAACCACAACGCTTGAGCGAATACATTGGAAGCGTTCATACCACTCAAGTCAGTGATCTTGTCGAATACTCCTCGGATGTTCGGACTCTCACTTTGAGATAGGGTAATCAAGGAGCACAATCCGACGAATAAGAGAGAATTGCTCATATGAAAGGTAGAAGAAAATCTAACAGATCATCACGATGAAAATGTACTCGTCTGGCGCAACGGGATGTTTGTTTCAAAAGTAGCGGATACAGTTGTAGAGCCAGTGACTGCCTTGAAGTACTTGCCGCTCGGTGGAGGGAACTTAGCATCAGACTGGGTAGCCAGCGAAGCAATATAACAAAATGAAGCAGGATCGCGACCATGACGAGCGTATGGGCTTTGTTACGAGGATGATATGAGTTGCTCAACCAACACAAATGAGAGGAGATACAACTAAGAAAGAGGAAAAGTTAACTCGGGATTGCAAAGTGCTCGCATCTTGTGGAAGCGAGAAGCGGCTTGCGGGTTCATGCGGGACTCTCGCGTGAGTACGTGAGTGCGTTCGTGGTAGAACGCATGGTATGTCACGCACTGCGTGCGCAATTAGTTCCAGGGAAGGTTTTCGGAGGATTACTATGCCTAACGCAAGGAATTCAGTGAATCTTGCGGAAGATCTGGTTTCGACTTTTCGAAGTCTTGGGAAGACTGATACATTGAAATGCACAGAGGCGTGTAGGCACCTCATGCGAGATTTCATCTTCTGCTAGTGTAAGATCGCGTGAGACCCGGCGGTCACTCGCCGAGTGACCGCCACGGTTTTTGGTTCGATCCCCGGGTGGGAGTCCTACCGTAGGACATTTCTCTATCATTAAAGTTTTTCGTGCATATCTTTTCGAACTGTTCGCATAATCGAGCTCACTGATCTTTCTCAACGCCTCCGCATATAGAGGAGTCGTTGGACCTATCTGATAACCTCCCACGTTTCGCAGATGAGCCAGAATAATTCTGCACACAGCACGCACAACGCGAAAGTGCCTGTTGTTGCGGTATATGCTCCGCTCGTTTCGCTTGCTCCGCAACTCCCCGTCGTGGAATTCGGAGATCCGACTTCCCGAATACCGCTCGCCCAGCGGTGCTGGGTATTATAGGACTCGTAATAGTGGATATTACGAATTCGGTCACAGAATAGTACGTGACACTCATAGCAGTAAGATTGACATGCAAATAAGAAAGTGATAGAGGATCGTCATTATCATCATCAGCTGTCAAAATGAGGATTCCTCAACAGAAAAAGAAGGCTCTTTCGCCATCCGATCCACCACAGAGACACAATCACGAGGCAACCAACAAATACCCGTTACGGGTAAGTTACCCGGGTTACCCGAGGTAACCCGTAACACGTCGCTGGAAAAACATAACCAGCCTGAAGTCTTCCTCCGCGGACGCGTACTCATCTTCAAAACAATGCCACCACAACGCGCTGCTCTTATTTTCAGAAGCAACTACTAAAGAGCAGTGCAGAAGCGGTAGAAACTTATGCACAGCAAGAATCTGACACCTTCTCTCCTTATAGGTGCTACTACGCTTACGCTCTCTTTCTCGGAGAAAGAGAGCGTAAGCGTCTTGGGAGAAAGTTTCTCCCAAGACACCACCACTAAGTGAAACAAGCAGAATCACCGCTGCCTTGCCCTCAGGAAGTTGAACCTTCTGAACGACTCGGAGGAAGGGTCTCCATAATCACCGATAAGGTTAATTCAACTTCCATCCGACCCGTTGTTTGGGAGGCATCAGTCATCAGTTAATCATCACCATTCCCTCTTGTGTTACGAGTCTAGATATTCTACACATCTTCCGTTACCGTTCGTTGCCGTTACCATGGCGAAGAAACTCACCCAATATTTCAAAAAACGACAATGGACAACCATACTGTATGAGTGGAACAGTCTGACGAAGAGTGTCGTGGCAGACTCACGTCTTGCAAGGCCTCCGAATCGGAGGCTCCGACAGAGCTCCAGCCTCGAGTCGAGGCGCTCGACACCTTTATTCTCCCATCCCTCGGCGACTAGTGTTGTAGTTCCAGTTGAACTCATCTTCAAAGCCGTTGTGGGATAAGCAGATTATTGCTATCGAATACGAATGGGAAAAACGGATGGATAGCTCAAACCCCTCGCGTCACGTCACGCGTCACGTCACGCGTGTTGTCACGGGACACGAGTAGGGCGAGCGATAAGACGAAAGGATGTTGAATGACAATTGTGGGGAAAAGTATGATAATCGTCGATCATCGGTCACTGTTCCTCATCATCACCCCTCCCCCTCGTTGGCACTGGCTAAAGAGAGCATCTTTAGTATGCGAACGGGGATACGGTTTTGCTTGGTGAGAGCGAAGCCAGTGGCAACGATGGAGTGGTAAGATAGGACTTGAGTAGAATTTGTTAAGGACCACCGTCCTGTATCGTCAACCTCCATAATACGAATCTCAAGTTCGGCCTTGGAGAGGTTGTTGGAGATGACGGTAGCACAGTCATAGAAGTGCTCAAGGTCGAAGGACTCGATCTCGTGGATTATGAGGTCACCAGCAGTCAGGTGGTCTTTTGCGACAGTCAGTAGCTTCTGCTCATATAGGACGCTGCTAGCTCTATTGATCGAGCTGTCTTGCTGTAGGCCACGACGTATAATAGGGTCTAGAGTTAGAGGACGTAGTTGATGGACAGGTAGGCGGTCCGTCGTGCCACGGACTTTGTAATGATTTTGCCCGGCAGGACCAATGATCTCGTAGGGGCCTGTAACCTCGGTAGAGTGTCCTCCTGGCCGTTCTATTGGGACGACACGTAACACTTTATCTCCAGGATCATAGGAACGTTGTAATGAGCCGACTCGATAGCGATCATTCCGCTTTGTGAGCTCTATGTCACGAGTGACAGACCAAAGATCGTGGGCATCTTGTAAACGTCGTTGGAGGTCATCGAGGTAGGCGTGGGGGGAGTCGATGTGACCGAAAGAAGCTCCGTGCCTGTTGCCAATATATATATCGGGAGCAGACCGACCAAAGAGTAGTTCATAGGGTGTCAAGTCGTAGTAGGCAGGGATGTAGGGTGGAGGAGATGTGTTGTGGACGAAACTAACCACTGGTAGAGCATCTTTCCAGTCTTCTCTTGCCAGGAGGTAAGGCTGGAGCAGGCGTAGAGACGTTTTAAGTTCTCGAACTGCTCGTTCTGCTGCTCCCTGTACTCGCGGGTTTTGCTTGCCGGGTAAGTGTGGCAGATCCCAAATCGGCTCTCGAAGTGGGAAATCACGGAGCTCGTGAAGTGGGACCCGAGATCAGAGTGCACGAAGTCAGGCGCTCCATGTATAATGACAACATGATTCCATAAGGCACCGACAGCGGCAGCAGAAGAGTTACCGACCGTAGGGCAGAGGAACATCCACCGAGTAAAAAGTCGATGACAACAAGGCAGTAGTCACATCCGGTCGAGTCGTCGCCACGGACTGGAAAACGGGCCGCAGAAATCGATGACAAGTCCTTCCATAGGTCGTGAGGCTCGCAGCATCGTGGAGGATAGGTCTCCGGTGTGGGGCTGTAGGACCACTTTTCCAATTTGGCAGCGTAGGCAGGTCCGAGCATAGTGAGCTGCATCTCGCAGAATGGTGGGCCACCAGAAGTTGCGAGCTAGGGTAACAGCTAGTCTAAAGCCTCCACGGTGGCAACCGGCCAGCGTATCGTGGTATTTGTTGAATAGCCATGACCTGAACGAAGGAGCTTCAGCGGATTGTGTAGCGGTTTTTAGAAGCACACTCGAGTAGGACGGTATATAGAGCTTGAGGGAATTGGCTGATTGGAACCACAGTAGGTCATTGATTATGCAAAAACGGGGGGCCAATCGTTGTAGTAGTATACAGGAGGGCTGTAGTTGCGACCCATGCTCGATGAAGTTGATGACATTGGCGATCGGTAGGTGTAGATAAGAGGATACAGTATCCTGCTTTTGCGCATCCGATAGCTCAGCGAGGATATCGGGAGAGACTTTCTGGAGGAAGGCGATGATAGACTCGGTACCCTGTGTGTCCAACAGGTTGAAGTTGTCAGGGGAAGACTCATGGTCAGACTCATCGTGGCTGTGGTCGGAAGTTGTAGAAGAGTCGTCGTCTGTTGGGACCGGGAGGGTATCATGGATGTCAAGTCGCAGGTCATATCCAACTGTATTGTTTGTGGCTACTAGTGCAGGACCTTCGCATAGTAAACGTGCAAAATGGTCAGCGAGTTGTGGTAGTCCTGAGCGTCGACACCAGACAAGATAGTGTACCGATCTTTGGTAGAGTTCAATAAGGCGCATCCATTTCCCACCAAAGTCGGAATCGATGTTGCTCCAGTGTCGGCCAGAGTTGGCGTTATCGGATACGATGATGGTAGGGAACCTGAGATATGCTCGCGCTTCCTCTAGGCATAGAAATTGAGAGGCACGTTCTCTCCAAGTGGAACTTTGACGCGAAGAGGTGTCGGACCAGGATCCAGCCATAATTTTGAGAGGTAAGAGACGAAAGCAGTTGTCGGAGAAACCTGGGTGAGGCAGGGCTCGTAGAGCTAGCACAATCTCAGAAGTAGCCTCGTGGAATAATTGGTCTCCTTGGTCATCAGCCGTATCCGAATAAGTCGAGGAATCATAGCGGGTAGATTCAATACGGAAACACACACCGCACCAGCCAGTAGCATTGGCATCAACTACAAGTAGAACCCCAGTCGTGCTGGAGCCGCCAAGACCAAAATGTAGCGCGGGTAGTCGTCCACCGAAGACCATTTCAGTAAGGCGCGTGAAAGCCGTGCAGAGCGATTCGTCGTCAGTGATGGGTCGTGCGCCTTCCGCTTGTAGAGCTTTGATGCGAGCGAAAAATAGCTTCAAATTAGATACGCCTTCCGGAGCCAACCATCCACGATAATATTGGAATTTCCCCGCCCACGATCTCAACCACTTGAGTTGGCGAAGGGGAATGTTACGCTTGTAGTGGAAGAATTCATGTAATGCTGACTCCGCAAGCCCCTTGACGAGTTCTTGTTGAGAACCTTCTGGTTTGTACGTAGGACCGTCGAGCACATATCCACAAAAACGTAATGACTTAGTAGCATAGGTTGATTTCTGGCGGTTCACGACGAAACCATAGCCTTCGAGGAAGTCGGAGAGGTCCTCAATGCATTGGTTGAGAGTCTTCTCATCGGCGGCACCAAGTAAAAGGTCGTCTTGGTAGTGGTCGATGTGGACTCGTAATTTACACTGTGCCCTGAATAAGTATAGGAGATGAGATAAGGCACGGGTAAAAATGAGAGGAGGGTAGGTCCAACCCTGAGGAAGTCTACACAGTCGCCAGAGAAAGGAGTCGCCAAGAGAATTAAGATTGCCAGTGTCGTCCATGACAGTGCATGTAGTACGGAAACAGAATAGAGACCGAACGCGCTCGGGAATGGAGATGCTGTAGAAGGCATCGCTCAGGTCCAGGCGACCGTAGAAGGTAGTGGCAAAACTCGGCCAATTGTTGAGAATATCGATAGGTCCTTGTTGATGTTGGTTCGGACTTTCTAGGTCAGCTTTCGGCATACCAGATGATACTGAGCGTGGTACCCATTGGAATTTGTTACCGGCGACGGTGAGTTGTAGATTGTTAACCGGGCGAGCATCCACAGTCACCCTATATCTCTTCTTGAGATCTGCATCTGGTAGGTGGTAAGGTCGTGGCGGTTTGGGGCCATTACCTGTGGCCAGCTTATCCACCAGAACTGTCTCCAAAATGATGATGGCGTCGGCAGCCGAAATAAGTTCCACTTTCCCTTCTCGATACATTTGTAGAACTCTGGAGTGTAGAATAGCAGACTCCAAGACTGATCGGGGCCGCATTT